GCTTGTGATGAAATTCAGAAACAAATAGACAATATTTGTAAAAAAGTCAACCAGATTGGAGGAACAATTAAAGATGACATCAATAAAATTGGTGAAGATGAAAACAGTAAACTCACTAAACACATTGAAGATGTTAACAAGCTGGCATCCAACATGAAAAAATGGTGTGAATATTCTAAGCGTATATTACAACAAAGATCTATAATTACCGCTGTAGATAAATATGGATTAACAGACATCCAGACAAAGACAGATTACAACATATCAACAAATTTACACGAACCTGTAGTCAGATATCCATATTATTCTATGGTGGAGGTTGATGTCAACTGTTTAAAACGACTATTTGCTGAGGTACAAACACCAACAACATTTACCCGTAGTTTTAGTTTGAACCAGATACTGAAGTCATGTGAGTGGTACCACAGTGATGTTGTAATAATACAAGGATTACCATGGTGTATGCGTGTTTTACGCAATTCATCAACATTATATATTGGCCTGATATTGAAGAAAGTAGAAAATAAACCTATTAAAACTGTTAAAGCTTGTTATACAGTAAAACTGTTAAATATCAATGATGAGAGTAAATCAGTAGTTGACCAAGGTACAGGTAAATTTATACCTGGTGATGATACATATATGTATTGTGTTTTTATAAGCTTGGATAAACTAGAGGATGTGACAAATGGTTTTATTGATGATAACAAGACATTTACTGTACATGTAAATATAACTGATATAAAACAGCATTGAAGACCAAAGAGTCCTAGTCGTGGTGGACCTAGTTCTAATAAACAACAACAGTTCTAGTCATAGTGGACTTAGTTCTAATAAACAACAACAGTTATAGTCGTGGTGGACCTAGTTCTAATAAACAACAACAGTTATAGTCGTGGTGGACCTAGTTCTAATAAACAACAACCGTTCAAGTCATGGTGGACCTACTGTCTGTTCCAAGAGATACTCTGACTCTCAAATTCCTTGCCATTTCTTCAGTTTTTAATTTAAACGACCAAATATTGGTGACATACCTGGAATTGCCATCCCGTTGCTCGCTTCGTCGAGCCCTAACGCCTAAAAGTTCAATAAGATCCACTCTCCTCTTGGAAATTTCACATATTTCGACATCGTTTCTTTCTCAAAACATCAACATTACGAGTGCGTCTGCATAATGGGAGACTTGCATTTCGCGTATAGGGTAGACAGGTATCTCCTAATCAGGTACATTCGGTTAGAAATATATAGTGAAAGAAAATTCGCCCGTTTCTTTTGCGCCAGTAATACATATGTTCTGTTTTAACCCGCTTATTTTGCAGAAACTGCGCATTAAGCCACTCGGTTTTTGGGAGTAAGGTCTAGAGATATGACATTTTTATAAACACTCTATTAGTTTTCCAAGGTTCTGATCAGCTGTATATAAATATTCAAAATATATTTGTCCAGATTATTTCCCTTTGGCCTTGCAGTTTTTAGCCTATAAACTAAATAATAATTATCCAATTGACACAGAATCAACGGCATGGTATACATGTTGGCACTATCTATAATATACAAAATAGTATCTTATCGCAAATTAGCTGATATATATCTGGATAGTCCTCGTAAATATGCAGAGCAAGGCGGGAATCGATTTTCGTACTCCGTTTTCCCGCAATTACTACTTAACTTTTTTATTTTATAATATTTGTATTCTAAACATTTATCTACACGCAGGGTTGATATATAACATCAACCAAATATCCATGAATCATTTTGAATTTTTGCTATTTCTGAGAAATAGGCAGTTTTGTGGGAGTCACTTTTCAAAAGAATAAAATATTGTTCTATTTTAATGACATTTGCTCGATTTGATACTGCAACTGTTCATGATTGTAACATTCTTGTCATTGGAAATGGCATCATTTTGGCAAAATTAGCACTTTTAGCCCTTATTAAACAAACTTTAATTTCAAATATACCTGTTTGTTCATAATTAAATTTTAAAACTTTAATTCCACATATCGAAAAGCACAAACCACTGCGAACATATGAATATATGAAAAGATAGTTTGTAACTTTATGCAATTGTCCAAAGTACCTTTTTACGTTGTTTACCCAAACACATCTACAGTGATTTTGAAAAAAAAACCCCAACATATTTTCAACCCTTAAAGCAAACATGTTTTTTTCTAAAGAGTGTTATTCAGTGCCATTTAATAATGATGTTTACTAATTTCGTTTAAGTAATATTGTGTAGATATACGACCAAGCATTGGTCATTTTGTAAGGGTTCCACACGTTAACATGCTATCATAAATGGCAATTTCGCCTAAATAGTTAAAACATGTAACATGCTCATGGGAATATGTTAAGTGACGTCCGTTAAAGGATTACGAGCACCGGTGAAACCCGTCATGACTGCATCGCAGTTAAAGTTTTCCATAATTTTCTGAGCTCTTTCTACCCCCCCCCCCTTTTGCAACATAAATACCGTTATTTTAATATTCCTCACAGTTCACTGCTGGATCTTAGATATTCATAGTATTCTTATTTGACAACAGATCAGATTTATTTCAGATATTCAGCTAGAAAAGACAAAATAAAGCGAATCTTCGAAAATATAACCCCTTGAATAATTGATTATTGTTCTCTACAGTTTATTATTTGAAGATGAAAATTACGCGAGATGTTAAGGAATTAACCAAACTATTATGTAGTTATTTCGAGAAACAGAATTATTTTCTCCTCGCAGTGTTTCATTTGAATAGATCTAATCCCACTTAACACTGCTGTAATGGAAGCAAATTTCTGTTCCAAATTATGACTGGTCAATAGTCCAATTAACAACCAATAGCTAACTGCGTAACAATTTCATTGGGCTTTAAACAGAGCTCCAAATTGGATCAAATATCTTTACATAACGTTACGTCATGACTCAAGAAATTTACGCCCAATTAACCAGTACATAGCCAAAATTGCAGAAAAACTTATTGCGTGACAAACGAGGCTGTCAAAACGGATACAATATAAACAATACTGTTTGGGGACGAATAATACTTTTCCCGTTTTTAATATTTTAAATCCCTGTCCAAAGTTTCAGGGAAGACCCCAGATTAAACGAAGCACTGTGACGTTGCTGTACTTGGGATAGATTTGATTGAACGGGAAGAATAGACACACTCCCGCAAAAGCTCAAGTATCAGAAGTCAATCCAGCAATGGCCAGAAAGGGATTTCTCGAGACAATAGCTTCAGGAATATGTGTTCTGCGTTGCATAACCTTGATTGAAGATATGAAATGAAATGATGTAATTAATGTTTAATGGCACGCCAGCATCGACCAGACGCAATCTGGTTAATAATAAAACACAGATCTTATTTCATTTCGTTTTTATAGTTCAAAACTTTGTTTTACTTGTCTTTACTACACTTGGATCTGGAAGAGTTGTTATTTAACTCGTGTTCTGAATGGTGTCGGGGATAAGCCAATGAAACGGTCTGTTACGGCGAGCTTTAGGCGTGTTTTTCACGGAAGTGTGGGTAATCCAATAGTAACATCAATGCTGATTGGTTAATCAAATGTCTGACGTCATAGGGTCATAAGTCGGTCTTTTCACCCCTGACGTGACCTATCGCTATAACTTGTCAGATCTTCATGTAGTGTAGGCCATCGAAAGTATAAAAAATAACGAAACGAAATATAGATCTGTATTTTAATCAGATTGAACCGGGCGATAATACGCCAGACATAATTATTATATAAAAATCGTTTTACGAGAAATTAGGTTACATATACATTTAGTCTGATCATTGCCCCAGCCTAAATTCAACTTTAAATTGTCTAAAGGCAAAGTCGTAAGCAAGGGAATAACTTATATTAACTATGCAATCCGCGATTACTTTTGCATATTATGGACCAAGTTATTGTGTAAGCCTATAGCCCCCTTCAAAATTTCCATCACATGCAGTTCAGGATAAAATTTGTACGCAGTTTATATGAATATCAAAACGCTACAGCCCTCGGGGTCAATTAAATATTCAACTCAGTTGGTAGTTACGATCGATGCGCACATCTTGTCAAAACTACAACCATTGATATCTTTGCTCAATTAGTGTAATTTGAATGAAATTTTCAATTATTTCATTTTGCATTATCTATATTTGAACAGGCCAGCTCTTTATCTAAATCTTATACAAGGTACAGTTTTTGTACAGTAAGCAAATCCTCGTATAGAAACTTGAGAACTATGTATATATATCAAGCTTCTTCAAGCTACAATAAATTGTCTTTCATATCTTACATCTCTTAAACATACATTGTGCAAGAGCTAAATCTGCATATTGTAGGTCTTTCTTTAGGCCTGAAATGTTATATAAACTATTAATTAGACATTAAATTACTTATCCAGACCATAAACAACTCTGGATGTCAACGCTAGTCTGCGATATTTGTTGGATTATGATCCGATTTGCTGCAGAACTTTCCTTCAAGATTTAATGATTAAATTGATAATCGAGACTATGATTTTTGTCGTACCAACTTTAGTAATGATGATCGAGGCTAGGCAGAACTTTCAACCGCATAATTCTCGGTTCATAGTGGATCAATTTGAATGAAATTTTCAGCAAATTACCTTTACATTATCTAGTTTTTAACTATCATAGAGAAAACTGTCAACTCGTTATCTAATCTCCCATAATGTATCTTTAATTGTTGAAATATTATATTAACCATATGAACCGGAACTATAAATGTCACAAACTGTTTTAATTTACAAATTTACCTTTTTAGTCTAATTTGCTCTGGGCTTTTTTTTTCTCTCAGAAAAATTGATAGAAAATGTCCCCAAATAATATTTCCTAGATACGCTAGGGAAGACTTTGGTTGCACCCTCTTGGCAAGTTTTATATTCACCCCTGACGTATGGAGCCAATTCGTTCATTCCTTCCTGGGGTTTACATCCACTTCCACCTAGGGTGATATCGCGGACCCAAGGGGTCGACAGTACATGTACTTACTTATGTTGATGACAATATTGGGCACATTCAACCACATCACCGCCATTTATAGTTGCTATGGTTACATTTTCCACTTTACCATGGTAACAACCTCTATACCACGGATCCTGAGAATCTGTAAATGAAGGAAATTATTGAAATGAAGATCGTCAGTGATTTCAGAATGTATCTGCCCTGTTTTCCTAACAGACCACTAACCTAGCATACCTTTAACCTAATACAGTTCAGTTAAGAATTATGTCATGGCTGAACTGTAGACTATCATGTCTGTATGCGATGAATTATCAAATGAAATGAAATGAAATGAAATGGGGTTTAACGTCCTACATGCATTATTCTGCTCCAACTGGAATAATGAAGATGGGTGATGACTTATGACATGGCTGTACTGTCGGGGAATAAGGGAAGGCTATGGATGCCACCTGAAGTAAGGAAGCAATTACTCTAACGGAGATTAATGGGTTTTTGATAGTCGCTAAAATTTTTATCCTGGGATTCGGGAGAGAATTTGCACCCCTTCCCTCGGATTACGTAAATGGTCATTTTGGGACTAACACATGGTTCAATTTTATTTCCATAATTCGCTTGCGCGTAGTAGTCTTTGGCAGTTGGAGGAAACCGGAGGACCCGGAGAAAACCCACACGGTTGGACAGGCAACCCTTCTCCTTGTCACGTACAACCAGAGATTTGAGACCACACTAGTTGACTTAATGACAGACTTTATGATACAGCGCGCACGTGCTAACCATTCAGCCATCCAACCCCCTAATCTGATTAGACTTTATTTAAGTTACCTGTACCAAGAACAACACATGGACGTAACTAGCTCAGAGCAACATGGGGGGCGGGAAGTGTTCTCACGGGTGCTGTAAAATTGTCGGACAATGTATGTCTAGGGGGGGGGGGGGTCCTGAGGGGGAAGGGTCCTCTTTGAGAAAATTGTTCAAAATTGGACTGCCAGAAATGCTATTTCCTGCACTCTGGGCAGCCTCATCAATCAAGGACAATGATGCAGACGGACCCTCATTTGAAGTAAATTTGACCAGAAAACTTCAAAATACCCCTCATTTGAAGATCTGAAAAAGGTGAAAAATCCAGAAATCTGGATAAATTCCAAATAACTTGAAACACTGAGAATCCGATATCAACTAGGCCTACTGATGATTTTTTTCACAGGGGGGCGAATTTTTTTTATGGTGACAATTTTTGCCCCTCCTAGTTACGGGCCTGGAACAACACCTTTGTTTAGTACTACTACTAGTACTAGTAGCAGTACGTTTATGAATGAATGGTCTAAGGCTTAACAACAACATCACTGGACAAGGAAATGTAAGCGATTACTCTACACGGTTTTGTTTGAAGGAGGGAAACTATTGATTTAGGTCATAATAACTCGACTACGGGGTTTTATTTGAGGGGGGGGGGGGGTATTGATGAGATCAGTTTTGCGCTGTCGACTTCAAAATTAATTGGTCGTCATATTTTTGACCTGGGGTGACCCGGATGTTCACTTTACGTCTTTTCCGAGTGTTAATTGTCCAGGTGCGAAACCTATCTATTGTCAACGGTAACACCGGCGGATATCTAGCTTATCCATATTTATTTTTTCTTCGTCCTAATAGTAACAAACTTAGATGTGTTTGGTTTGTTTTTTGTCTTTAATACACTTGCAGCAATTCACCAACTGATTACCGTTTTTTTTTTATGCCTATCCTTGACTAAGTACCGTTCATACTTACCAGCTAAATATATCGTTGAGAGGGCTAGGAATAAAACCAACAGAATCATGTCGCTTTGTAAACTCTGCTGTCATTCTTAACGCGTCTAACTTCACTTATAAAACATTGAAAACTTTTAAACTTTCTTAGAACTTCTTAAAAAAGTCAGCCATGTTCGGCATAAAAAGTAGTTCCTTTGGATTTCACTTTTGTTTTGATATTAATGCGTGGACTTACGCGTATAATATTCTTAGAAACTAGAATCTTGGTAAACTCTTCTTTATTGACTCATTGATAAGGAATACGAATGTTATTTGAGAAACTCCACAAGCAGTGTTTATTTGGGAACTACTTGCAGACAAGGAAGGAGATAGTCTTTGATGCCACTGTTTATGTGATTCGGCTGCACGCGCTTCTAAACAGGTGCGCCTGACATCACTAATAAAATAACTTCTACCCAGACTAACTGGTCGTTACACATTAGATTAACGAAGGGTGAACGATGTTTTATTTTCACTGAATAAACTTTTTTTGTCTAAATATATCTTAAGCTTTTTATCTATGAAATAATTAAGTGACGGAATAATTTTGTTTTATTGGATCATGCTGGATAACTGAGAAGCCTGCATGCCCGTATCGTAACAACCAGAGTCGTAGCCGTGAAATATATAATATATATTGGGGGGGGGGGGGGAGGTCCGCAAATGAAATTATATAAAGTGTTGACAATCTGTAGCGCGATAGAGAGAGTGTGGGAGGGTCACCCTCCCACTGCATGGGGGGGGGGGCACCTGTAAACACTGTTTTGGCATACTTTACGGGATTAAACTAAAACATCACACCAATACAATGTTTATCATGTTTAAGTCAGGGGGTGCCGTATTCATATTTTTTTCATGACGTTTATATATTGAATGTTACGCTTGAGTCATGAACAACACGACAAAGAGTTTAGTAGGGGAATTTTTATGAGGTGGGTTCAAATGAAAGAAAACTTGATCACATAACTTTGGTTTATGAGGGTGCATTTGACAATCACCTTCTTAACTACAATACTATATACATATACACATTGACATTTACAAGAAAGTTGTATAGATATTTAAAGTATTTTGTACATTTTGTGTATTATAAATGGATTTCAAAAAGTAAACATAAGTGTTTGGTGTTTTAACTTTTAAATTGTTTTATACAGATAGAACCTTAACTAATCCTTATAATTGTTGTAAATAAATAGGAGTTAGGGCCTACTATTTTTTTTTGGGGGTGGGGGAGGGGGTCCAAGTATAATCAGACCCCCCCCCCCCCCCGAAAAACAATTGGGGGGGGGGGTCCCAACACGGATAGATCTAATTATGGCCTAATTTAGACTATGAAATGTTGCAAAATTGCGTAATACAAGACGATAAAACAAAGAAATTTAAATATACTATAGATTACTCCAGTTGTTTCAGCTTCAGAGTGAGTCCTGTATCATTGGCGTGGTGGGACTGTAACTGTGCCCTGGTGCAATTCAGTAGCTGCTGCAGGAACGCCATGCATACCAAGCGTTCATAGGTCTGAAGGTTGCAAGTGAACCCGTTCTGGTCTGGTCCAGGGGTGGAGTGGAGTTCGTGGAAATGTTTGCGATTTTGAACCCGTTTTTGTTACTACAATTCTATCCCCAGTAGAAGCATGCTTTAGGGGACTAGGGGGCGAAATAAAATAAATTGAAGTTTAACGTCCTACCCCAACTTGGTAAATGAAGACGGGCATTTGTAAATCAGCGTGATATCCCAAAAGCTATGCGGGATAAATCTACATGTTTTATCGGTTGGGAAGCATATTGGGGGGGGGGGGGGGCAGTAGCACCCTGGCGCTAGTTCAAGGGGCGCTTATTTTCATATTGGCCCTGACCTTTAATTCCAGTAAATTAATAATTCCCTGCCCTTTTTGGAGATTAATATTTTTGTTCAAGTACAAGTGCCAAGGACTGTTATAGCATTTATCCGGTAAAACCAGTGCCAGTGATGTGATGTGGACGGTTGCAGCGACTAACAACCATTGATGTGGTGGCGACGGTTGCGGCAACTAACAACCAGTGGTGTGGTGACGACGGTTGCAGTAACTAACAACCCAAGGTGTGGGGTGGACGGTTACAGCAACTAACAACCAGTGGTGTGGTGGAGACGGTTGTAGCAAGCAACTAACAACCAATGGTTCGGAGTGGACGGTTGTGACAACTAACAACCCAAGGTGTCGGGTGGACGGTTGCAGCAACTAACAACCAGTGATGTGGTGGGGACGGTGGCAGAAACTAATAGAGGGACGGGGGCTGCAGCAACTAACAACTCAAGGTGTAGTATGGGGACTGTTGCAGCACCTAATAGAGGGACGGGGGTTGCAGCAACTAATAGAGGGGCGGGAGAAGATTTTGTAACGGCGCTCTGGTGTGATTTAGTGGCTACATATCTTTTTAATGACTTTTAATTATTGTTTTATGTGTATTATTGAAAACTAAATACTAAACTTTTTATAAGATTTTATTGCCAATGTGATGAACAAACAAAATATTATCATTATCATTTATAACCAATTTTTTTTTTTCAAACGCCGCCCGGTTGTTATCACATTTTGTTCTAAAATTGCGTAAATTTTGTTTCACGTTGAATCTCATTTTTAACGCCTTCGCGGTGGCCCATGCGATTTCATTCTATCGTCAAAAAGCCAGGGCTCCAGGAACGACACTTCTTGGCCGCGGCAAATTATTAAGTGCACGGAGGCTGAGATAGCAAATGGCGGCCTTCGCTTCCCCAAAAACCAGTTCATATTTCAGCAAATGGAGAGGGTAGAATTATAATTTGAAGGGGAAATAAACATAAAAATTGATTTAATAAATTTTATTCAGATAAAGTGTTAAAGGTATAAAAGTTGTATTTTAAAATTTCTGTAATCATAAAAAATCAACTGAGGGTAGGCACTGATTCAGACACTGGTATTATCGCATGCAATATTCTACTAAACGAGTTCCTGAGATAATCCTAGTGATTTACATTCAACCCTTTTAAAATTTTATTGTAATTTATATACATCATTTTCGGTGAATTAATACGTCCAAATTAAAACTAGGATTTTGTAGAGATAGTTGTTTAGTGCCTAAGGGATTCGCCCTCAAGTCTCACACCTCATTTGATGGTTTCTCAATGATTATTTCTTATTGTACATTAAAGATACATTATGGGAGATTAGATAAAGAGCTGGCAGTTCTCACTATAATAGTTAAAAACTAGATAATGTAAAGGGATAATGCTGAAAATTTCAGTCAAATTGATAAGCTCTGAACCGAGAATTTAGCGATTGAATTTTAGGTCTAGCCCCAGTGATCATTACTAAAGTCGGTACGACAAAAAAACATAGTCTCGATTATCCAGTTCATGATTAAATAATGAATGAAAGTTGAGCAGCAATTCGGATTCTAGTCAAGTAAATATCGCAGGCTAGCGATGACATCGAGGCTTGGTTATGGTCTGGATAAGTTAATTAATGTCTAATTAATAATTTAGATAACATTTCAGACCGAAAGAAAGACCTGCAATTGGCAGATTTAGCTTTTGCATAATGTATGTTTAATGTTTTTCTTTGTTCCATATTTTGTATATGTATCTTCATTGTACTATGGTTGTCATTCGTCGCTTGATAAAGACAAGAGAACCGTCGCCAGAAATAAATCTTTCAAGTAACTTGTATTCCCATCCTGTTACTAAATGTCACTTAAACAATTTATTATTGTGTTGTTTGTGAATCAGACATTACTAATTACTTCCGCATTGTCTTGTAGGATATGTTTGTCTCTGAGGGAGGTTGGATGGCTGAATGGTTAGCACGTGCGTGCTGTATCATAAAGTCTGTCATTGAGTCAATTGCCGTGGTTTCGAATCCCCGGTTGTACGCGACAAGGAGTAGGGTTGCCTGTCCAACTTCGTGGGTTTTCTCCGGGTCCCCTGGTTTCTTCCCAATGCTAAAGACCCCTACGTGCAAGCGAATTATGGAAATAAAATTGAACCATGTTAGTCCCGAAATGACCTGGTTTGTGTCGAGTGGACGTTAAACCCCATTTCTCTCTCTCTCTGTTTGTCTCTGATTATTATAAATGCCGACCGAAATCACGGATTATACGACATCGTGTACTGATTTTAAAATGTCCACTGCGCCTTCAATATTGCATATTAGGATCCCATATTTTCACGGTAAGACAACAGCATCAATATTGATTGAAATCGGTCAATATTTCATTATAATTCGTATGTTATGGATAATATTGAGTTAGAGGTTCAGCTCCTCTGGATTCAGGGGGGTTGGATGGCTGAATGGTTAGCATGTGCGCGCTGTATCATAAAGCCTGTCATTGAGTCAACTGGCGTGGTTTCGAATCCCGGTTGTACGTGACAAGGAGTAGGGTCGCCTGTCCAACCTCGTGGGTTTTCTATGGGTCCTCCGGTTTCCTCCCACTGCTAAAGACCCCTATGCGCAAGCGAATTATCGAAATAAAATTGAACCAACTGTTAGCCCAAAAATGACCTAGTTTGTGTCGAGTGGACGTTAACCCCATTTCTCTCTCTCTCTCCCTCTGGATCCACCCCTGTACCCAGTACCGTTTATTTTGTTACCTGTATTTGTGAACGGGCAAACCGTACACCAGCGGCAATTACAAAATTCTATATGAAAGTCCAGACAAAATAAAATCATATTTTATTTGTACTCCGAAATAAGATAATGTAGTCAGACAGATGGAAAGTCTGTTGTTACAGTGTTGACCTATTCAGACAAAATGAAATGAAATGAAATGGGGGTTTAAGGTCCTACTTCGAACTGGCCTAATGAAGAGAGCATACGCCACAGATTGCTATGAGGGAAATTTTGCCCGGCCTGTCAAGGGATCATTTACGTGCACACCAATGTGTACATAGGACCTTGGTTTTTTGTCCCATCCTAACAACTATACAGCTGTTCTTGTCAGGCCCTCTGTCCTGCACCACTGACAAGGGAGAACCCCGTCGGAAAATCTGGATGAACTTTCTCGGCCAATGCAGGGATCAAACACACTACCTCCAGGGTAGCGAGCCACCCACCTGACGATCACTGCCCCAAAAATAACTATCAACTCTTTAGTGTTGTTAATATGTCTTTTATTTTATAGAGAATTACTGGTATATATATTAAATTATAATATACAGTTGACAACAAACATGATATATCATTATAATACACAGGTAGATATATCTTAATACTTCATGTATACAGTAACTTACATAGGTCCACATACATGCCTGGACAGGGCACCTGTCACATTTGACAACAAACATGATATATCATTATAATACACAGGTCAATATATCTTAATACTTCATGTATACAGTAACTTACACAGGTCCACATACAAGCCTGGACATAGGGCATCCCTCACAGACTATGATGTCAAGGACAAATTCAATCTGATTAAAACACAGGTCTAAATTTCGTTTCGTATTTTTTATATATATATATATATAAAAAATACGAAATATATATATATACTTTCGATGGCCTACGCTACATGAAGAACTGACCAGTTGAACTGGAAGATTGGGTCACGGGTCGTAAGAGTAGCTTTTGACCCTATCACGTCAGACATTCATTAATCAATCAGTGTTTCTAGTGGTTTACCCACAGTTCCGTGCATGGCACACCAAGAAGTCGCTGTAACAGATGGTTTCATTGGCTAATCCGTCATGTCATATAACAACTCTTCCAGATCCTAAGTGTAGTACAGACAAATATAAAATGAAATTTTGAACTATAAAAAAAGAAACGGAATAGTCTGTTTTAATCAGATCGAGACAAATTATTACACAACGTATACAGTATAAACTATAATAAAGACTTGTGTCTTGTGACCAGTGCCTTATAACCAGACTCAACTTAATACCTTAAATACAGTAACAATTTCATATAACACATTAAAACGATATAAACTCTTTCATTTTCACATAACACTGTACCAAATTTATGCAATTCATTACCCTTGACCATAAAGAATTCACAATCTCTTATTTCCACAAAATAAAGGGTATGGATTTGATCTGATAACTGATTTTTCTTGTGTGGTGATTTAATATCTTTTCTTTGTTTAAAATTTTTGCTTCACAGTCAATGTTGAGATTGAACTCATTTTGTATCTGATCCAATCTCATTAAAATACAAATCTGTATTTCGTTTCGTTTTTTTTTATATTTTTGATGGTCTATACTACATGAAGATCTAAGCAGTTGTAGTGGGAGGTCGCGTCAGAGGTCATATGAGCGACTTTTGACTCTATTACGACAGACATTGATTAATCAACCAGCGTTGACGTTTCTAGTCGTTTACCCATAGTTATGTGCATTGAACTCCAAGAACTCGCCGTAACAGAGGGTTTCATTGGCTAATCCCTCACATTAACCACAACAGGCTTATATAACAACTCTTCCAGATCCTAGTGTTGAGAAGACAAATAATACAAAATTTTGAACTATAAAAACGAAACGAAATAGGATCTGTGTTTTACTCAGATTGACATTTCATTCTTTCAAGTAATATTAAATTTTTTAAATTTGAAAACGAAATGTTTTGTAACCGGAGAATACAAAAGTATTGGCATAAATTATTAAAAATTATATTAATTACAGAATTCTATCTAACTATATAAATAAATTATTCGTTCATTGATAATTCTATTTTATTCCAATAAATTTAAACAATTATTAAGTGCCCCATACACGTTGAATTTTTCAGTCAATTACTTGATGGCAATTAATTGATATCAATTAATTGGCGAAATTGACCTTGCCCACACACGGTCAATGTTTTAGCGTCAATTTTCATTCTGATCGATAACACTAGCACACACAGTCTATTTAATTGACGAGCCATCAATAAATGTCAAAGGAACTTTGATCTGTCAATTAATTAATTCAATTAAATTGTTTCAATTAATTCGCCGTCAATGTCCTCCATACACGTTCAATTTTTTTGTCAATTAATTGATATCAATTTATTGACGATAAAATTGAAGTGTATGGGATGCTTTAAAGCCATTGAGTATCATTTGAGGGACTTTTGATTTCTTACCAGCTTCAATATTTTGAAAGTTTGGTGTCATCAGTCCAAGAATGATTCAATTTTGTTCAGTATTTACAAAGATATCATCAATTGAAAATTATCAAATATTGTGCGAAAAAAAAGCATGATCGAGATAAAAACGATTTTAAACAACGCAATTTATTAGACAAACTGATTTCTTGATGAACTAAATCTTAAATCAGTTTTAGTATTTTATGTCCACAGGTTAACGCTAATGGAATTTGATCAGCGTTTGCCTCCTACGAAAAATTCATAGGGTTTTTTTATGTCTGAAAGTACACACCTAGAAAAACGTCCAAATTTTCATCATTTCCAAATTAATGAAATAGAATTTGAGAGAGAGAGAGAGAGAAATGGGGTTTAACGTCCACTCGACACAAACTAGGTCATTTCCGGACTAACATATGGTTTAATTTTATTTCAATAATTAGCTTGCGCGTAGGGGTCTGTAGCATTGGGAGGAAACCGGAGGACCCGGAGAAAACCCACGAGGTTGGACAGACGACCAGACTCCTTGCCACGTACAACCGGGGATTCGAAACCACACCAGTCGACTCAATGACAGACTTTATGATACAGCGCGCGCACACTAACCATTCAGCCATCCAACCCCCCAGAAATAGAATTTGAATGACAGAATAAGATGTAGATGGGTCCAATCATCATGGTTAAAGATCACCAAGTTTCAAAGAATGTAAAAAATTCCGGGTACTGACCTAATGGGCACAAAACTAGACTCTACTTTTCTATAGTAAATTCGAAGTGCAAATGACCTCATTTGACCCTGGATATCTCGAAAACGTCCCAACGCCGGACTGATTTCCATCCGGAAAAGTATTCTACACAAAATTTTACTATAGAAAAGTTGGGTCTGGTTTCGTCCCCATTTGATGGACACCTTCCTGCATTGAGCCCAGGGTCTATTAGACCAACTTTTTCGTGGACAAAAATATGTAAATAGAAAATAGGCCTATTAGCTGGTTTAATTTAACAGATCCATTGAAACTCTGTAAGAAGAGAATTTAACACAATATCTTATTAAGAACTGGACTTTTTGGGTGGGGCGGGGACGACAACAACTTGAGCCTTGTCTTTTAATCTCATTAATTTCCGCAGGTGTGATTGTTTCTTCGAGTGGTGTTCAGGTGACTTCACAGCACGACTGTCTTTTTTAAAGTAGTTCATGTTAAATTTCGCTTTCACGTCTGCAACATTCTTTAGTAATTTATATTTTGTAGCGGGCGAAGACTTCACTGGACTTTGTCGAGAGTTTTTAAAAGGCGGAGATTTAACAGGACTTCGATAAGAGTTTTTAGAGGGGCGTGATTTCACAGGAGTTTGACGAAAGTTTTTTGTTTTCGGTTGATCACTTGGTGGGGAAGACAAACTATTATCACTTTGTCTAAAGTTTTTAAAAAGCGGAGATTTTACAGGACTTCGAAAAGAGTTTTTAGAGGGGCGTGATTTCACAGGAGTTTGACGAAGGTTTTTTGTTTTCGGTTGATCACTTGGTGGGGATGACGAACTATTATCACAACTGGAACTATGTTTCTGATTGTTTTTTTGCGGACTGTTAAAATTAAATACGATATCTTCGTCCACCATTTGTTCCATTTCATTCTGACATCGTTTTTTTCGCTTTGGGCTATAGAACTGAAATGTTTCGTTGTCTTCATCGATCGACTGCAACACATTGTCAGACGGTTTGTATATTTTGCTCCGTAATGTCGATGTTTCTGATACACAAGATGCATTTTGATTTCTCTGAGATTTTGATTTGTTATTTTCCACACCAATTCGTTTTAGTTTTTTCTTGTGAACACGTTGCCCTGTGGATGCCGATGGAGTACTTGATAATTTTACGACCAAAAATTCCTCACAGGCATCGAACCACGAGGAGTTAGAACGTTTATTTGGGGATGAATACGCGTCTGGCATTAAATCATCGAAATCGGTAACATCACTCGCAGTACTTCTGATGATCCATTCACTCGATAACGAGTCATCTAAATCCACTTCTGATTGTTCTTCGTAAGACAATCCAGACATTGGACACGATTCGGTGTCCTTTTTTTCAAATCCTAGAAAAGGGGCCGGGTCCCGTTCACTCTCGAGTAATTTAGAAACACTTCTGTCACTTAATACACGCCAACTGTGATTCAATTTCACACGTTTTTTCGTTGTCGTGGTTTTGCAACATTCGTCTGTAATATTCAAGATATCTCTTATGTTGGAGTCCTCTGATTTTGATGGATGAATTATAACATCATCGTCTTTGTTGTAATTGTCTGTTGCGATTTTACTATTGTGCGATAAAGTCTGGGCCAGAACTTTATCCGCTGAACTTATTACGGAACTTTTTTCAATTTCATGAAGTTGAGTTTCTAATGATCTGCAAGTATTTTTTGTTGTGTTCTGTATTGTTGTGGACGTAGGTACGACTAAAACATTTGACTTTTCAGATTTTGAGGGAGTCTGATGATTGAAATTTTGTATTTGTGATTTGCGCTGTCGCCTGACACGACGCCTTGGTGTACTCGATATTCCACTTTTGGGACTGATCATTTCCTCTTTGTTAAAAATAACAGGTTTTGCTGGAGTAATATTTCTACAGGTTCTTGAAGGCTGTGATTTTTTTGGATCTGGTCGAAAAACAGGTGATTTTTTAAAAACAGGTGACTGACTTTCACAATCGTCAATTATTTTCTTCGATTTATTTGGTGAACAAGTAGCAGATAGCAGTTGGGATCTAGATTTATTTGGTGAATAAGAAACAGGTGGCTGCAGGAATACAGATTTATTTGATGAACAGGTAGCAGACGTGAGCAGGGATCCAGATTGTACCGATTTATATGGTGAACTAGATCTGGACTGTTGCCGAGTGCCAGATGGTCTTGATGAAATGTTGAACGACGAGCAAGACGGAAGTGGTTCAATTGTAACTTTTAGTTTTTTAAGTATAAATTCATTCGAGTTTCTGGCATTTCTCACAATACCACTGTAAACTTGACTCTCCTGAGAACTGATGTTTGATTGTTTATTTTCACCACCGTCTGCAATCAGAAGAGCTTTATGCTTTCTTTTCTTGTTAACTTTAGTTAAACCTGAATTAGAAACGTCAGAAGTTGTTTGACTAGAAGAATCAAAATCTTTTTGAGGGGACGTAGACGTGTCTGTTTGTAACGACAGGCATGTTTCTGTCTGCTCGGTAGATCTGTGTTTCCGCGACGATAGGCGATTATCTTTAACATTATGACATGACTGCCCTTCTACATAGCCAACATTATGATTATTCTTAGATTTTCGATTTTTCTTTATTTTAATGCTTCCGTGATTTTTCTCGGATTCTGTTTTCGCAGAATTAGATCCATCATTTAAAATGGATGTGTTGGATTCAGACTGTGTTTTTTCTGTACAAGATCCCGGAGATATGCTAGATTCCTTTTTCTTGTGTATTGAAAGCTTCTTCTTTCCCCAAATTTCCGTCAAAGAATTAAATATCATCATATCATGCAACTGAACTTCCATAGAATTCCGCGATTTTCGCCCGCTGTGTTTTGCAAAAGATAGACATTTTTCACCCATATTGATGGGAAGACTTGTGATTGGAGCGTCTGCTGTCAGTTGTTTCAAGATGGGGGAAGAAAGACTTGTTTTGCAGGGTATCAAGTGAGATTTGCTTTTTGATTGAACTGTTGGTTGAGAAGAACTTTGTTTAGTTTTTGATCGAACTTTTGGTTGCGAAAGACTTTTTCGTGAATGTTCCTTATTGTTTGTTTTTATTTTACATAATTTATTGAGACAATTCATTTTGTCGTTGGCTCTCTTTGTTTTCTGTGTCAGTTGTCTTTTAGCTAATTTCACTTTGTTGAAATAAAAATTGTTTGAATTATCTTTTTTACGTGTGCGTAGTTGACGAACAGGATTAATTTCGCATTTCGTACTTTCGGTTTCATTGTTCATTACTTTTGATTCACGCACTCGCTTATTAAAAATTATTTCGTTGGAACTTGTATTTGAATCCGATAATGTATCACTGGAATCTGAATAATCTGACGAAAAATAAACACTTTTAGAAATTCCGCTTTCACTGTCGTTGTCTTTTGGTTGTTTTTTTGCTGCGCGATCTCCTCCTCGTAATATTTTATCAGGACTTGTTGACGCAACTTGTAAACTTCCGATTGCCATATTTTTAATAATTAATTTTTGTTTAACTTTCGCGGCCGGTTGTACACCTGTCTTTGTTTTATGCGGCCAATTTTTTAAACTCTTTACGATGACGGAACAAGGGGAGACAACCGGTTTAGTTTTCTGGACACTAGGACGTGGCGAGGAAACACCAGGAACTACCGCATGTTTATTGTTGTCCGCATCTTTTTCTACACTGGCCCGCACGCTGCTAAAACTACTAGAGAGACGACGGGATGTCACGATACGCCGACGTAAAATGTTCTCTTTAGTATCCGCCTCGTCTTCACAAGGAATCGGTTGCGATTGTTTGGGTTCTGATTCTTTGATCTGTTTATCGTGTTTCTGTGGCGTGGTTTCATTCGTGTTGTTTACATCATCACCACCACTTACAACGGATTCACTAGAAATTTATAAAAAAAAGAAAAAAAAAGATTAGAACCAAAATAAATAGGAAAACAGACCCCTGAGTTCACAAAGCATTCTCAGACTTAAGAATTTACTCAAAATTTTAATTGTTGTTTTAATGTATCAAATACAACAATCAGAAACTATGTGCAAAGTTTTGTGTTTTTGGATCAAAGATATTTCTTACAAACCAGTGATTGAAAGCTGAGTGAATGCTTTGTGAATTTGGGGCCTTAGACCACCGCCCGAACAAGAAGAACAGTGCGCTATGGTGGAAATTTTGTCCTCCGTCCTACACACAGGGCCTCCGGGTTAGCAAACCATTGTCTTACTGAGTCGCTCAACAAGAAGAACATTGTACGATACGATACATATAGAGCCAAAAACTTGATCTCACCTTTTTTTATTATTAACAGATTTTCTCATACAATGTTCGTGTAGAACTTTTTTCAGGAATCTAGCTGGACTGTTGACGGTTTTAATAATCTGATCAAGTTTAATAAAATTATTTTTATCTCGAGCAAATTTACGATGATCTTCATCACGAAGGTGCTGAAATATCAAAATAATATCCGAGTTAAAGGGCTATTATGTAAGATTAGAGAGAGAGAGAGAGAGAGAGAGAGAGATGGGGTTTAACGTCCACTTGACGCAAACTAGGTCATTTTGGAACTAACATATGGTTTTAATTTTATTTCAATAATTCACTTGCGCGTAGGGGTCTTTAGCAGAGGGAGGAAACTGGAGGACCTGGAGAAAACCGAGGTTGGACAGGCGACCCTACTTCTTGTCAGGTACAACCGGGGATTCGAAACCATGCCAGTTCACTCAATGACAGGCTTTATTATACAGCGCGAGCTTTCTAACTGTTCGGCCATCCAACCCCCCATTAGATAAAGAGCTGGCAGTTCTCACTATAATAGTTACAAAATAGAAGATGTAAAGGGAATATTCTAAAAATTTCAGTCAAATTGATCCTCTCTGAACTGAGATATTAGTGATTGAATGTTAGGCTTAGCCTTGATCATCATTACTAAAGTCGGTAGATAAAAAACAGTCTTGATTATCCATTCTTGGATTTAATCATCAATGAGGGTTGAGCAGCAGATCGGATTCAAATCCAGTGAAAATCTGACACATAAGATGGCATCGAGAGTTAATTACCATCTTTTCATGTTCATAAATGTCTAATTTATAATTTATACAACATTTCAGGTCTAAAGAAAGAGCTGCAATAAGCAGATTTAACTCTTGCATAATGTATGTTTAACAAATAATACATTCGGCTGGTTTTTATATATCCAGCTCATTCAAACAATAAATACAAACTTTTCATGTCAGGTGCCTAGATTGTCAAGGGTGAACATCTCTGTTCCTGGGAACATTAAAATAGTCCACTCGACACAAACTAGGTTTTAATTCTATTTCAATAATTCGCTTGCGCGTAGGGGTCTTTAGCAGTGGGAGGAAACCGAGGACCTGGAATACACCCACGAGATTGAACAGGCGACCCTACTCCTTGTCACGTACAACTGGGGATTCGAAACCACGCCAGTTGAATCAATGACAGGCCTTATGATACAGTGCGCACGTGCTAACCATTCGGCCATCGAACCTCCTTAAATATTATGGATAATATTGAGTTCGAGGTTTAGCTGCTTTAAATGCTCTGTCTTAGAGAAGTGGATTTATATAATGTCCCTTGTCACACACCAGGATTGCAAACTTCGATATTCTAGTTTTGAACAGTTTTGTAAGATTTATAAAATCTGAAAATGAAATGTTTTTAAATTTTGTCATCTAACATTTTTAGTTTAATGTAAATGAAATGAAATGGGGTTTAACGTCCTACTGTTCTGCTCCAACTGGGCTAATGAATATACAGGTCACAATTCTATGGAATACAATTACTGCTTTTTACTGAGCGACGTTTCGACTAGACTTCTCTAGTCATTATCAAGCTATTATCATCATAGCCTGATAATGACTAGAGAAGCCTAGTCAAAACGTCGTTCAGTAATAAGCAGTAATTGTATTCCATAGAATTGTGACCTGTATACTCTAGTTCAATTACTAAATGCCATTGAAACAGTTTATCAGACATCAGTATGGGCTAATGAAGGCGGCCATACGCTATACAGTGTGCTGTGAGTGAAATTTTGCCAAGGTAGCGGCACAATGGCATACTTTTATATTGAATTCCAACTGCCACGCCAATGTATACAAAGGACCTCAGATTTCATCCCATCCAAACGACTAGACAGCTATCCTTGTCAGGACCTCCGTTTTGCACCATAAACAGGGGGAAACCATTTATAAAATCTAGAACCAATGAAGTGCTGAATCATGAATATGTATTATTAAACATGCAAGAGCCAACTCTATAGTACGTGTTATAGTTTATTACTCTATCCAGTAACTAAATGCCTCTAAAAGATTATTTCAGCATATTCTGTTTTCATTATCTATTTTTTTAACTATCATAGTGATAACTGTCAGCTCTTTATCTAATCCAACCTAATGCCCCTTTATACATGAATTTGTATATAAAACAATATGAATTTCTATAGTCGTTTAAATGGTTCGAAAATCCGAGGTAATTGCAACAAGTTGGAACCTGTAACTATTGAAATTTGAAATAAAGAATACAACACTATCCATTCAAACTCCTCCCATAGTATACTGGATGGAGTATGCCCGTCTTTATTTAGCAGGTCAGCGCAGAACAGTAAGATCTTAAATCCATTTCATTTCATTTTCTGTTAGTGTTTACCTTATTAATATCGTTGTAATACCTTTTCAATATCATTGTAATAACCTATCAATATCGTTGTAATACCTTATCAATATCATTGTAATAACCTATCAATATCGTTGTAATACCTTATCGATATCATTGTAATAACCTATCAATATCGTTGTAATACCTTATCAATATCATTGTAATATTTATCGATATCATAATACCTTATCGATATTGTTGTAATACCTTATCGATATCATTGTACATACCTTATCGATATCGTTGTATTTGATCAAACAACATTCACAATAACCACGTTTTTTCTCCACTTGTTTCTTCCTCTCCTGACGACGTCGTAAATCACCAGCCGTTAAAATCTGCATACCCACCATTTTACTTGTGCTCCCTTCATTCTGACCCCCTTTACTAAAATAATCAAACGTTATTATGTCATCATACTCTTTTAGTAAGAGCACCATAAAATCCATGACAAACCCGTGGAAAAGACACACATAATCAGTAATAAACAAAAAACGCATACATGATTTCAAGTGAATGGATCCTGAAGTGATGTATGCTTCACTCAAAATGAAAATAACAATAAGGGAGATAATCCATGCAAAAAAGGAGGAATATTTCCCAATTATTTGATCTTTCCAGTGAAAATCTTAATTAGCTATATGCCACGAGGAATCTCAATTAGGGAGAAAAGATGAATATTCACCAATTATTTGATCTTTCTAGTGCAAATCTTGATTGGCTATATGCCACGAGGAATCTCAAAAAACCTATTTATAGCTGTTCAGGGGCTGTATAGAATAATCAATAGGGATCCAATCATGACAAATTTCAACGTGTACAAACAGAACTTGTGGTAGTCATAGCAACTTGGGTTTAACACATTAAATTTAAAAATGTCTGAAAAAATACAACCAAATACCTTTGTGTTTTGTCTTTAGGGGTTTCAACTGAATCTTTATCAATTTCTCCACCTTGTTGAGACGCCACAACACGATCTCTGTATTCTGGTTCCGTTTTCTGCGCTCGACCAACTGTACTTCCATCAAATGGGCAGGTACCAGCAGGCGTGTCAACGTTACAATGGGGCCAACTATCAAACTCTAGTTGGACTGGGCGATAATGCAGATTGACAGCTTCAAACTTTACAAGTGGTTGTCGAAGTCTTTTTACTGAAATATAAATAATATTGTCTTAAAATTTTACAAGTGGTTGTCGAAGTCTATTTACAGAAATTAAAAAAGGATTTGGAGGCTGAATGCTGGTATGTGTGTTGGGATGCCACCTTGATAGAACACAATCGTCGGTGAAGTGTATTTTTTGTTTTTGGAGTAATTTAACACATGCATGTTCGATCTGTTATTAAGTCAAATGACATGGTTTCGATTTCCCGCTTGAATGTGACAAGGTGTAAGTTTTCCTGCCCAACGTCATGGATTTTCTTGGGTCCTTTAGTTTCCTCCAACTGCTCAAGAGCTGATTTCACTCCCGGTAAAAGGTATATGGTAGGTTGCTGTCTTAATAGAAAACAAAAGTTCGGCAACAGGTGTATGGTGGAGAGAGAGAGAGAAATGGGGTTTAACGTCCACGACACAAACTAGGTCATTTCGGGACTAACATATGGTTTAATTTTATTTCAATAATTCGCTTGCGCATAGGGGTCTTTAGCAGTGGGAGGAAACCAGAGGACCCGGAGAAAACCCACGAGGTTGGACAGGCGAGGTGTATGGTGGGGTATAGTCTCAACAGGGTGGGGTATGGTCTCAAGGGATCTGGTGCCATCTTAATATAGTAAATAAGTTTACCTTTCACACCAGTTGTTGTTTTCTTAACAACCTGTTAAAATATAAATATAACAATTATGTTTCTACGACATTAAAACTGAATGTTTATCACATCGTTCATCATTAGTTCATTACTAATTGTCTATATCACAGGTTTTCATTGGTTGTTTGATCTGGGGTTCACCAATCACAACCTGGAAAATGTCTTTAGCCTATCAGAGCATTCTTGGAGAGTTGTGGTGGCTCGCTAAACAGGAGGTCTAAGTTCGATCCTCATGTTAGCTGAGAAAGAGGGTTAGGCCGTGTTAAATTAATTCTGCGTTTCGGGTCAACCGCGCGCGTAGCTTTCACATCGTCAAATTGATGGTTGTGTTGATTTTCTACGCGGTAGTTTGTGTTGTGTTTTGATTTCGGCAGCTCCGCGCGCGTACCTATCCACACAGTACATTCTTCACTATAGAACACACGCCTGTCTATTTTAGGCGACATACGCACATTTTTAATTTACACGCATAAATATTGGTTTAAAAAAATAAAATAATATTATAATTTGTATACAGAAAAATTTGAAAACAAGTCACGGTCATAAATTTAAAACGTTATTACATTACTCCATGTGTCAGCACGCGAACTTTCGCTGCCACGTTGTCCTTGGTTACATGTGTACATAGACTTGTTTGTCCTGACACGCGCTGACTTCTAATAACAGTTTAACGGTACAGCGCGACTTATTTCAACTTGCCTACAACTTCCATCATGGCGGATTCGGTGGCGGTAGACACTGGTGAAAACACACTCCTAAATCTACAAATATCTGTACTGCCAGGGAAAATAAAGGCACTGCAGTGGACCGTTGTAGAAACTCCATATGAGTACACTTTTAGTGATCTTTATACATGTACAAGTTTATTAAAAGTATATGATATAAATTCATACATTAGAGTAGTTATGTTATTATTGTTAAATTAACAATCCATTAGATGTGGATGGCAGCGCCACTGAACTGCAATTCAGGGCTTGCCACGAGATTGACAAGTTTATTGCCGAAACTAACCCAACAATGTCAATAACGTCATAAATTCGTCTGTCAAACGAAGATTCGCCCAGCTGCACGCGGCATTTCCTCCTTAAATTTGATTGGCTAATGAAGTTACTCGCCACTTGTGTTACTAAAAATACACTTTAGACCTGAATGTCATCCATGACTGGTTTTCCTACGAACACCAGTAACAAACGCGTGATAATCGAGTCTAAAGTAAAGAATGTTTACATCCGGCATTAGGCATTCACGCTAAATGAACACGTTTCAAACTAATATTTATTGGTATTTCTTATTTTATCAGAACTTCGGTTTTTATTCCATTGTGCAGTCGTATAATTTTCAATCTAAGCGTAATAATGGCCAAAGGAAACCTGATTGCCCTATCCACATTTATGTCGTGGGGTGAAAGAATCCATACGGAAATTGGTTTTAAATAATTTATTTTTAAACTAAAGAAGAGTATGACTGTCAAAAACAGAAAGCGATGGTCACACATGTTTACTGCAAACTCTGTGCCAAGAATAGCAATTTTCTTATAATTTTAAATTGAAACAATGTTACAAAATGTGCTCACGCAAACAACATTTTGCGTGAGCAATTTTTATTGCTCGCCCAAACCTAAATTTGCTCGTCATCAATTTATTTGTGGCCAGCCCTGGCAATGATAATATCAATAGACCAGTTTGAGTGCCTCCAGGGCGGCCTTAAAATGCAGTTCTACAAAATAGAATGTGACATCCACACCTGATGGATTATCTAGTAATAATAGAATCTTCCTGGAAAACAATCCTGGAGATGGCTCTATTGGGTTTATTCAGCTATATTCTAAGTTTGTGTTGTGTTGAAAAAATGTGTGTTGTGTTAAAAATTGGGAGGTGTGTTGTGTTAAAAATTGGGAGGTGTGTTGTGTTGACCTCCCTCCCTCATTGAATTCTGGAGACCCTAAAACCTGAAACACAGAATTAATTTAACATGGCCTTAGGGTCATATATATCGGCAAGGTTTTTCCTTGTCAATCATGCTGGACCTGGCAAAAACAGGACCTGGTCATTCATATGGGACAAAAAAAAAACGAGGTTGTGTACACATTGGTGTGCATGTAAAAGACCCCCTGACGTTGGCGCCGATAACTTTCGAAGAGGGTATAATGGGAGTATATCTACCTGTCTAAGAGGGTATATTGAGAGAATATCTACCTGTTTAAGAAGGTATAATAAGAGAACATCTACCTGTTGTTTACTTGTATCAGTATTTGACTGTAATTTACTTGATTCTCTAGTCACCCATTTTAGAGCAGCTGAAATAAAATATAACAATAGACTTACATATGGTTTAACTTTATCTCAATAAAGGAGTATTTAGCCGTTTAGGAAACAAGACAAAAATAAACAAGGTTGGACGCTGTGTCACATACAATTAAAATTTACAAGAGAGACTGATATAATGATCATTTATTTAGTGTCAAGAGTCCATTCTACAATTATATACGTACAGGAGGGGGATGGTGGAAAAATGGTTTAACACAAGTGCATTAGATAATAAGATCTGCCATGAGACAAGTAACGTGATTACGATTCACAGCTAGTACAAGTGGGTTTTCTCTGCTCAAGACACCTGTGCGCAACCGAATTATTGAAATAAATTGAACTATATGTTATTCATGAAATGATCTAGTTTGTGTTGAGTGGACCTTAAACCCCATTTCTCTCACTGTATATATATATATACACAGAAGACTGAAACAAATCCCTCCCCCCCACCCTCTCTACACAGAAGACTGAGACAAATCCAAGTCCATTCTATATTTCTCTATGCACAGAGAAAACATGACCTATATAAAACTGTAAGGTAAATATATTGGGGGAGTGTTTTGGAGCTTGATAAATATAAATAATAATTACCATCTACAGGAATAACTTTAATTCCAAACTTCTCTGCATTTTGAAGAACAGGGGTTGTCTGTAAAAAACAAAACATGCAAGGTATTAAATGGGGAAAAATAAATCCCACAACTGATCTCCAACAAACAATATCAATCAGTGCGATCCTACTTCTTGCCACTTACAACTGGGGAATCGAAACCACGCCAGTTCACTAATTTGGCAGACCTTATGATACAGCATGCACGTGCTAACCATTCGGCCATCCAACCCCCTTCAGTGCATAAAACCGTTTAAAAGGCAGAATATTTGCAAAGAACCAGGAAACAATTCCCCCCCCCCTAAAAAAAATGTTCCCCATTGATTTACATTCCATGAGACCTATTTGACAAGACTCTGTCAAAACTCAAATTTGATTTCAGGTGATGGTAATAGAGTGAGAATAATGTTTACCTGTGTTTGTGACTGGGCAAGTTTAACCATTGCCTGGGCTCGCGTTTGCTATAAAATATTTTAAATATAGAATTAATATGATTAAATCTGACTAGAAAGTTGCTAGTATGTACGAGAAATTGCTAGTAAGCAATTCTATTTAGTAGATATCATTTTAATATTGAAATGAAATGAAACTTAACATCCAACTTTTCTGGGCCATTTGACGAAAATTGTTTAAATTATAGTTTAATGCAGACTTTAAGTCACTTGTCCTTGTCAGGGCCTCCATCCTAACAGAGGGCAACCACATCGGAAATTTTACTTCATGGCAATTAACCATAAATAAAAAAAAACATGATGACAATATTTCTGATTATTTACTTAATGATAGGATTGATTAAAAATGTTAAGAAAACTTACAGTTTTTTGTTTACTGCTTTCCAGACAATTAGGGGATCCCCCCTGCCCCGAGTTAAAGGGACTCGGAGTAGACAGGAATGACGGACTGTCTGGTCTGTCATTATTTCCATCTTTTTTATTGGGTAAGGTTGTAGTTGTATTACTGGATATCACATAATTTATTTCCTTACTTAGAAATTTCTCTACTTGCTGAAAATTTATAAAAAGAATTAATTAAAAATGTGTATAAATTTCAAGTAGAGAAAGAGAAATGGGGTTTAACGTCCACTCGACACAAACTAGGTCATTTTGGGACTAACACCTGGTTTAATTTTATTTCAACAATTCGATTGCGCATAGGGATCTTTAGCAGTGGAAGGAAACTGGACGACCCGGAGAAAATCCACGATGTTGGACATGCGATCCTACTCCTTGTCACATACAACCGGGAAATCGAAACCATGCCAGTTGACTCAATGTCAGACCTTATGATACAGCGTGCATGAGCTAACCATTCGGTCATCCAACCCCGCAAAATTTAGTGGGTGATAGACTTTGGTAACAACAATATTATGCATAACAATGGTTTCTACTTGTAGGCCTATAGACAACCAACAACTTACTTTCCTGAGATTTGGACACTATACACATGTATAGCCGTAAACTGTTTTTCTAATTGGCTTTCTACCTGATAATTCTAAACTGAATTTGAAAAAATGTTTTTAATGTTTAAATAAAAGTTGGTGGGATGTACTTACAGCCCCAAGATGTTTTAGTGTCTCTTCCAATTTACGTCTCTGTCGGACATCTTTTATATCTAGATAAATTGTTTTACCATTGAGTGGAAGAGGTTTGAATTCAAGTTTCTTTTTGGCAACTTTCTGTGGGCTAGCTCCTGAAATAAGGTAAACAAATCAATACATAATAATATTAAAAAACATTAGACAGACAAAATATGTTAAATTTAATCATAATTGAAATATCCAATTTACAAATAAAACTTCTACTGGAATCAACTTAATACTTACTATTCAGAAATTACATTTAAAGGAGCTAAATCGCTAATATTTGGGACCTAGAAATTGACACAAATGGGTCGCAACGCATATAATAATGTAATATGCATGTATATAAACTGATTTATATTCAATCGTTTCCGTTTTTACTCTAATTTCAAATCAGTTATGTTCGGCGAAATACGCCAGAATTGTCAATCGATTGGCTATTTCTAGCGTCTGGTTATTCCAGTCTACGCCGATAGTATTTATTGCGCATGCTCTCCAGATAAGAATATGGCTTCACCGTCTGACATGACTTGTGGAAAATGTATAGCCTCGTTCTTCGAGTCCCTTATTACAAATTGCGTTAAAACACATTATGGTACACGATTCGTGTACAAATGGTGAAATGTTTATTTTGTCTTAAATATTGGATATCAGAAGCCCATCTTTTCAAGATACAATGACAACACCAATGTTGATTTAAATTGATAAATAATTTGTGTTTTCGATGTCGAAGATTTTGGATGATACTGAGTTAAAGACTTAGCTACTTTAAGTTAATACCATCAAAGTATCTACTCACTGTTTTTATTGCTGCCATTGTCTTTAGTCATTCTTGCATTCTTTAATTATTGTAACTTGTTATATTCAATATAGAATAGGCCTAAGGCCCTTCTTCTCTGTTGCAGATGATGATAAAAGGTGCAATTGTCTAATTTCTATTTTGAATTTGATCTATGGGATTAGTAGACGGGAATTTTTCTAAGATTTAAAATTTTAAATGTGTAAATTTTGCCTTTTTAGGTCAATTTTTGAATTATTTTTCAACTCTAAACAATGTTAACAGCAATAACCAATTCTAATTTGATTGATAAAATCATTGACAGGGTGAAATTTGGAAATCTCTACCAGTGAAATAATTCACTGTACCGGTCCGTGTGGGTCGACTGGGGACGTTGCCTTATCAGGTCAACAGAGTTGACAGGTCATTTCCATTCTGCACGATTTTGGCGTCTGTTTACTTCAATTAAAATCCAACAAATACCGGTATAATGCGCTATGAAGGCTTTAGCTTGAGGACTAATAAGTTCTCTCCTAAACAAATGAGCAAATAACAGTCAATTATGCAAAATAATTATGAATAATATAGTTGTTTTCCTTCACACTTCTCAGAGTTCCCGCTTTTCCACCATTGATTATCAGCCGCCACATTTCAGCGATTTCATTGGTTGTTTTTTTCCATTTGGTGCGGTCCTTCTTGAAATAACTTCCGTCAATAAACAAAATGGCTGCCCCCACGTTTAACGTGTTTGTTGGTTCCGAAACAGGTTTATTGAAAGCTATTGACGTTAATAAATCAAATTGGTCAAATCTAAATAGTGTCCAGTCAGCGGACAGAAATAAAGAAATATGTGTTATATGTTGGGACAACCAAGAGCAAAATCGCGTAAGCTATGGATTGAGAAATCGAGAAATAGGTACATACGACACCGAAACCCAATCACACTGCAAGCCAATTAAATTTGACGGTGGTAAAGGAACTTTCAAAGGCTTAGCTAAAATTGATGATAATTACATCACTGCGGTCGAATCTGGCCTTGTTAAAGTTTGGAATGAAGAATCCGTCATCAGTGAATTTGAAGCAGGAGAAAAGTTATGTTTCATGACACAAAATCCTGATATTAAAAACATTGTTGCTACTGGGGGTGATGAAAATGATTTGAAAATTTGGGACATTGAGAAATCGGATCAACCAATATTCATGGCTAAAAATGTCCGCAATGATTGGCTCAACCTTCGTGTTCCAATCAAGGTTCTCGGAGCGGTGTTTGTACCGAACAGCGAAGAAATTGTCACATGCACAGGCTATCATCAAGTGCGATTGTATGACCCTCGAACTTCACAACGACGGCCAGTAGTAGACATGTCATTCGATGAGTATCCACTCATGTCAATTGGAATGTGTTACACACAATCTAATCAGGTAGTGGTTGGAAACACTCAGGGTAAAACGGCGTTAATTGACTTTAGAACAGGGAAAACTGTTCATTGTTTTAAAGGATTTGCTGGGTCAGTGAGATCTATTCAGTGTCATCCTTCACTTCCAATCATGGCTACTTGTGGGTTGGACAGATTTCTTCGTATTCATCACATAGAATCAAGAGAACTTTTACACAAGTTTTACCTGAAATCACGATTAAATTGCTTACTACTGAGTAAAAATTGGAAACTTGAAAGTTTAGACGAAGGAATCGACATGCATGAAGATGACGAGGAAAATAAATTTGCGGATCATGAAGAAAAATCAGAGGACAATGAAGAAGTTGAAGAAGATGTGTGGGATCAACTTGAAGTGATGTCAACATCCAAAAATAAAACAAAAAAACAAATATCAGATGGTAGTGATGATCATAACAAAAGAGATTTGAGAAAGACGAAAAGAAATGCGGAAAAACGAACTACGAGAGAAAACACAGATAGTAAAACTGAAATTGTTAAGAAAAAGAAAAAATAAAGTTTTGCTTGACAATAATATAAACCAGAAGCCTTGTACATGTGTTGGTTGATAAAAAAAAAATGATTCTGGGTCTCAGATACTCCCACGTTTTTATTTTAAATAATAAAAACTAAAAACTGCCTCTTTAATTACCACACGTAAATGTTTTCTCCTGGTTACAGAAAATAACTTTATAAAAAAATGGAATGAATCGGAAATAATGTACCATAGGCTCAATTATTAAGTACACAACACTGTTAAATGTTTTTATCAGTCATAAGTGATACTGGATAATCGGATATTCAACAACATAAAATAAATGTAGTGCCTTGAAATGTGATGTTTAATAGGTCATTTAGTCCAGTAGTGATTCTTTGATAAAATGAAAACACAAAATAAAAACCTCCCTTATGCATCAGATAGTCTGAAAACCAGAATAGTGTGTTTGTATGGCCTAAGTTGTTTCATAATATCTGAACTTAATATGTATGTAAATACATGTATTATATTATATAAAGAAAATTGAAAAAATCACATTTGATGGTAATCGTAGTTTATTAGCTGTGAACACTGCTTGGTATCTTGACTCTGACCTACATGTACTGATTACATGACATTTTGGTTTCACGATATTTCAGACTCCTGACACATCATCCAATATAAAATAGGTCTCGACATTTCGAACACGGGTGCACGACAGTTGAGATTCGAGAATCAGTTGAAAGTAACAGTTTGACAACTTTACTTTATTTTGTTACAAAGTAAGAGACCTACTGGTAATTAAATAATAACAATTAATCTTGTACATGTAGTACACTGGTAGGAACTATATACATACAGGTTCTGTTGTAAGTAGACCGGTAGGAACCATATACATGTAGGTACTGGTGTAGTAGACTGGTAGGAACCATATTAGAGCGGGAGCCCAGGGGGTTAACCTAGCTGAAAAGTGTACCAATTTTCTCCTATATGGTATCAATGCATGTATATCTGGTATCATCAGAATGTAAGTCTGCCAGGTTTCTGGTGGTGGGTGTGGTATTCCATGCCCAAAATGCAATGCCCCCCAACTAGGCTAGATTAGCCCAAAAGTGTACCACATGAAATTCGTACAGCAGTGTACCGTACATCTTCAGGTATTACAAAAACACTCATGACAGACATTTCTAGTGGTGGGGTACCCCCGACAGAGCTATGTAATTGCCAGACATTTGTAGTGGTGGAGTATCCCTGACAAGAGTTTTCTAATTTCCAGACCACAGCTATGCTAGATTGGTTAATCAAATGTCTGACGTCATAGGGTCATAAGTCGGTCTTTTGACCCCTGACGTTACCTAACGCTATAAATTGTCAGATCTTTATGTAGTGTAGGTCATCGAAAGTATAAAAAAACGAAACGAAATATAGATCTGTGTTTTAATCAGATTGACGCGTTTTCCTGCTATTCAAGCACGTGAATACAACAACTTCAAAGTGGTCTAACATAGCCTAATTAAGATGGCTGCCTCGAATCAACCAATCAATCGTTTACAGTCCACGGAGGAGGGACCATCTGGAGAAAATTTAGAAAATTTAACTGCCGCAAACGTGTTTTCCCTGCTCTTCCAGCCCGTGAATAATGCAACTTCAATGTGGTCCAATCAATCATCCCAGGGTATGGGAGCATCGCCCTCCCGGAGACAATTTTGAAAATTTAACCACTGCAAATACGTTTTACTGCTATTCTAGCCCGTGAGTTAAGCAACTCCAAAGTTGTCAAATGGTTTTGTAACCAAAATCCCACTCTATGCCGTCGTGAATTCCATCCATTGAATCATACTGTTGCTAGAGCAGGAGCCCAGGGGGTTAACCTAGCTGAAAAGTGTACCAATTTTCTCCTATATGGTATCAATGTATGTATATCTGGTATCATCAGAATGTAAGTCTGCCGGGTTTCTGGTGGTGGGTGTGGTATTCCAAGCCAAAAATGCCATGCCCCCCAACTAGTCTAGATTAGCTCAAAAGTGTACCACATGAAAATCGCACAGCAATGTACCGTACATCTTCAGGTATTACAAAAACACTCTGACAGACATTTCTAGTGGTGGGGTACCCCCGACAGAGCTATGTAATTGCCAGACATTTGTAGTGATGGAGTATCCCTGACAAGAGTTATCTAATTTCCAGACCAAAGCTAGGCTAGATTAGCTCAAATCTGTACCACCTAAAACAGCTTTGGAGTTGTTCAGTACCACCACAGGAATCATGAATGACCACTGCCAGACAGTTTGTGCGGTGGGTTGCCCCTAACAGACACGCCCAAAATGCCACGGCCACCAACTAGGATAGATTAGTCGGCACTGTTCCTGTGGTCCAAAAAATTAAAAATTATGCCAGGATGCGTAGAATACTAATACCTAGCACATATGGAAGAGGCGATAAACTGCGGTTGTAGGAACAATTTTATTTTTCAAAAACGCATTTTTAGCCCAAAATTTAGCCCAAATAGATTTGGTTAAATACACAGAGTTTGATAAAAATATAGATTTTATAATATATAAATATGGTCAAAAACCCTAACCCTAACCCTCGCACTAATAGAAGATAGGCCTAAAATGTTATTTTTTTATAACCAGTAGCTGAAACAATCTTGATATAATTTGCCCTTCAATATCTAAATTGTAGTTTATTCCTTCCATATTCTTTAAAATATATACTATTCAAAAAAAGTAGGGGATATTTGATTTTTAAGTGTTATTAAAGTCACCTAATGAAACTGACGAAGAAACAAATGACAAAATGAAATGAAGTTCACATTCATCGATTTATTCCAAATGATCGTTAGACTAAGTAAGGCACAGACTGACCATTATAAGGGTAAAATGATACCCGGGGTCAAACAGCAAAGTTACCACAGCATCACAACCAAGTCAGTAACGGGTAAATCCTCCTCTGTTTGCCAAACAAGCATTGATCCGACGTGGCATACTCCTAATGAGACGTCTAAGGTCATTTTGGTCCAGATTCTCCCATTCCTGTTGCAACGCAGCAGCAAGTTCTTGGACATTGGCAGGACGTTGTTGACGTTGACGTAACCTCTGTCCAAGCATGTCCCAGACATGCTCGATGGGGGAGAGGTCGGGACTCAGTGCTGGCCAAGGTAATCTGGTGATGTTCTGTTGTTGGAGGTAACCTGTAACGATCCTGGCCCTGTGACATCTTGCGTTGTCATCCTGGAAGATGAAACGGCGGCCATGACGTCGTGCGAACGGCACAACATGGACTGCCAAGATGTTGTCCCGGTAGTACTGGCCTGTAACACGCCCTGCAACAACATGTAAAGCCGTTCTTCCAGCAACAGTGATGCCTCCCCACACCATAACAGAACCACCCCCAAATCGATCATGTCTGATGACGTTAACGTCTTGGAAGCGCTCGTTTCGACGACGCCACACCCTCCTACGTCTGTCCAAAAAATCAACAGTGAACCTTGACTCATCTGAAAACATCACATTGCTCCAGCGTCGATTATCCCAGTGTTGACGATCCCTACACCAACGACGTCTTGCCTGAATGTGATGATCTCTCAAACAAGGGATCACGCGAGGACGTCGGGCGCGAAGGTGACCCCTATGCAGTCGATTCCGAATCGTCTGGCCACTCACTCTCACACCAGTGTCTGTTTGAAGACGAGCGCTGATCTGATTTGCTGTGATGACACGATTTCTCAAGGCCAAGGTACGGATAAATCGATCCTGGGCTTGAGTTGTCGCCCTTGGTCGACCTGAGCGTGGTCTGTCCTGTACAGATTGTGTATCACGGTATCTGGACCATAGCCTGCTTATGACAGACTGAGAAACATTCATCGTCCGCGCCACAACCGCCTGTGTTGTGCCGATCTGTAGCATGCCAAGGGCACGTAACCTTTCATTTTGGGTAAGCCGACGCATATCAAAATTTGTTTTCTGGTCACTAAAACAATTAAACTGATGTTTCCACCCTGGAATTCAATGCCATAATGACTGTAACATTCAAAGTCAGAGTCGTGCAAATCTTGGGTTGGACCCCCATGATGATCCCAAGCATCACCTGCATTCCATGCGGTAGCTATTGGTGCGTTTGGGCGTCACATGTAACTGGAAATGTTTCTTCTGTTAGGTTCTATAGTGACTTTTTTCGTAGTCATTTGAATATTTTAGTATTATGCCCCCAAAATCAAATATCCCCTACTTTTTTTGAATAGTATATATGAATGTTTTTCGACAGTTGTACGTGATTACACCTCAAATAAAAAATAACATTCTTTTTGTATTCTTTTTTATAAAAAAAAAAAAAAACAACCGTAAAATAGTCGGCGGTAACAAGGAATCATTAAGCATTTAGTCGGGGGTAACAAGTATTTGGTCGGCGGTAATTATATTACGGTCGAAAGTCATTACAATGCGGTCGGCGGTAAAAAGTATTTTGTCGGCGGTAATTACACGACGGTCGGCGGTAATTACACGACGGTCGGAGGTAAAAAGCCTCAAGTCGGCGGTGGTCGGCGGTAAAAAGTACCACCGATTTAAAATGGAATGAAATAAAATGGGGTTTAACGTCCTACTGTTCTGCTTGGAACGGGGCTAATGAAGACAGGCATATGACATACAGTGGGCTATGAGGGAAATTTTGCACACTGTATGGCCTACCTGTCATCATCACCTCCCGATCCTCTTGTCTTGATACCATACGTGCGTTGTACATAACTACTGTGAGGCGTGTTGGTCTACTCAGTACTGTCACTGAACACGTGTACGCGATCATCACACTCACGTACTCGTGGCTACTTATAGTTCACTTGAAATTTGATTCTACAGCTGTATTGCCCGGTCTAGATTTCTCCGCGTAAATAAAAAAGACACTCTCTACTACCCTCAAGACGATATCGGCGGGAGGAGTCGAAGAAGGAAATTGCAGAGAATTCTGCCAGAAAGCCCTGCCGGGGGCACTTCAATTTAAGGCCCAGGAATGCACTCAATTGCGAGGGGAGAGCACCAAATTTTCACCCCCCCCCACCCTGGCTCGCGCCTTCGGGGCTTCGCGGTGACCGGCTTAGCCGGCCACATCCTCGGCCCCTCCCAAAAAATCCATATCCCCACCAAATTTTATGAGCTGGCTAAGGACCCGAGGGGAGATACTCATAACTGTAAAATTTATTGCCTTTTCCACAATAAATTGTTGCCCATTTGCATCCATTTACAGTAATGTAAATTGAAATACTAAAATAGACTATCGAGACTAGACTCACGCATATTACTGCATAGAAACCTTCCATGTGAAACATTTGACTGGTTTTGAAGAATTTGTGGGACTATTCCGCGAAATGCGGGGCGGGTGGTCACCCAATTGTGGCGAGTGCCCGTCTTCATCTTCATTAGTCAAGTCGGACCAGAACAGCAGGATGTTAAACCCCATTTCATTTTCATATATCCGTGAATATGGCAGTGCTGAGATAGAGGAGTGAAAGAATGACGCTATAATGGAATCGAGCGCTGTATACTGAGCTTTTTATTTGGGCAATGTCATGGCAAATGGGAGCAAATTCTCGTGAACGAGAGGATAAGAAACGGGATAAAATATCGAGGCCTGCCTGTCAATTCCACCTGTTTTTTGAGAGTTGTCCGTCACCCATAGGCGTACGGGCTCGATGACAGTTAGGGGGGGGGGGCAGAACCCGAAATGCCCGAAAAAATTTCGTTTGTACAGACAGCGGCGCCGATCTTCCTCGGGAGGAGAAGAAGCAGAACTCCCCTTGTATTGTACCCCCCGCCCCCCCCGTCACCCCACCAAGAAAAGTTTTGAATATTTGACGGCTGCAAACATAATTTCCTGCTATTTCAGCCCGTGAACAAAGCAACTTCAAAGTGGTCTAATATAGCCTAATTAAGATGGCTGACTCGAATTCCAATCAAAAGATCAATCGTTTACAGTCCACGGAGACGGGACCGTTTGGAGAAAATTTTGAAAATTTAACAGCCGCATACGCGTTTTCCTGCTATTCCAGTGAATACAGCAACTTCAATTTGGTCCAATAAAGCCTACCTGGTTGACCCGAATTCCAAACAAATAAATCAATCGTCGCGGGGTATTGAAAATCTAACCACCGCAAATGCGTTTTCTGCTATTCTAGCCCGTGTAAGCAACCCAAAATTATCCAATGGTTTTGTAACCGATATCCCATTCTGAATTCCAACCATCGAATCAGATCGTTGCAGCTGCATTCACAAAAAATAATCGATGCTCGAAAAATGTCGCACAAAGTAGAGTGGCTCCAGACAAAATGTTTGAGTCAACTCGGTACAAATTTGTGGTATTCAATTAAAAGAAAAGTAAAATTAGTGTTTTATTAGGGCTCAATGACAGCCCGTAAAATTAGTGTTTTATTAGATTTCGGGCACTTTATTTTGCCAAGTAGATGGAAAAATTTGTTTTTTTCACTTTACCCTTCTGCCCGAAAAGTCAGCAGTGAATATTCGCTAGGCCGCCACTATCACTGATGATAAGGATGCGACTTAATGAACCCTCATTTTTGAAAAAAAAACCCCCCACGGAAATTGAAACTATAAAAAAAGCCAACAATGAGGCTGATGTACCCCCCCCACCCTCGAATGAAAAAGCAATTAGATTACACACATTTTTTAGTTGCATATTTATCTTTTTATAAGCATCAACCATTCTGCTTATCAATTCTTAATATGAGCGGAAAATGCTCATTAATGACCTTAGTCATGGCACTGATGTAATGATGTACGCCAAGTTTCACCATTCTCACTCAACTGTATGGAAGCCTATAACTACCATTCCTAATTTCTACTTTTCGCCTCTTCAAAACACGAAAGTCGAAAAGTCAAAAAGTAGAAGTTACGACAAAATCAACTCGAAAATAGGAAATTAAGAAATAACACACAAGCGATAATAGCGCCCCTCGTTTTTTCCTAATTTCTTATTTTCGACTTGCATTTTGGCTTGTATACGGTCTTGGCGACTTTCCACTTAGTCATATTTTTGTATAAATTGATGTCAGTAAGAAAAGTAGAAATTAGGAAATTAACACACCACGCTATTAGCGACTTTTTGACTAGGAAGTTGTTGTAGTCTCAGTTTTCCAGGTCGCATTTGAATATGTGCAATCAGGACTCACACTGTATTTCATTCTTTTCCGGCAGTATGGATAATAATTTTTATATAAAAAAAATGTTCATATTTTTTTTTTCCGCCATCTGGGATATTTTATTTGCCAAAAATGTCTGATAAAAAAAACACACCTTAGTGCGAGTTATAAACAGACATTTCCGACGTGGTTTCCCCTTGTCAGTGGTGCAGAACGGAGGGCCTGACAAGGACAGCTGTCTAGTCTTTCGGATGAGACGAAAAACCGAGGTCCCGTGTATACATTAGAATGCACGTTAAAGATCCCTTGGCAGTTGGAATTCGATATAAGAGTAGGCGATAGTGCCGCTGTCCGGGCAAAATTTCCCTCATAGCACACTGTATGGCGTATGCCCGTCTTCAATTAGCCCAGGTTAGGTGCAGAAGAGTAGGACGTTAAACCCCATTTCATTTCATTTCATTTATAAATAGACAATTTTTCCCTTAATTTTTTTCTCCCTCTTCCTGCATTTTTGGGTTGACTTTTTGGTCTAGAATTGGAGAAAAGGGATCAAATTTGCAATTTCATAGCAGTTTTGGGTAATACTGATGATATTACAGCGGAGGGATAGGGGGTGTAAAGTGTCTTTCTGCAGAGCAATCATTGTGTCGGAAGTGAGATTTTCACCCCTGTCAACTTCAAATCCGTGTAGCAAAAAATCTAAACGGCCAACCCTCTACAAAATTATGATGAGGAGATTGCCAAATGTTGTCCCCATTGTGCCTATAAAGATTGGAACCAACGGAATGTTGAGCAAAAAGCTACAGCCTGTGATGTTACAGTCATTTAACATTGAAGTCAATGGGCAAATAATTGCTAGTCTGACTCCATAGGACTAAGACTAGTAATTATTTCCCCTTATTTCATGATGGGTAGTGCGAGTTATAAATAGACAATTTTTCCCTTAATTTTTTCTCCCCTCTTCCTGCATTTTTGGGTTGACTTTTTGGTCTAGAATTGGAGAAAAGGGATCAAATTTGCAATTTCATAGCAGTTTTGGGTAATACTGATGATATTACAGCGGAGGGATAGGGGGTGTAAAATGTCTTTCTGCAGAGCAATCATTGTGTCGGAAGTGAGATTTTCACCCCTTTCAACTTCAAATCCGTGTAGCAAAAAATCTAAACGGTCAACCCCCTACAAAATTATGATGAGGAGATTGCCAAATGTTGTTCCCATTGTGCCTATAAAGATTGGAACCAACGGAATGTTGAGCAAAAAGCTACAGCCTGTGATGTTACAGTCATTTAACATTGAAGTCAATGGGCAAATAATTGCTAGTCTGAGTCCATATTATGTAGTACAACGCGGACCAAGATGGCTGCTAAATATACCTGTTCCATTTGTTAGACAGGGATATAATAACACTACAGCTCTGATATATTATACAATATAACGTGGACAAAGATGGCTTCGAAAAATACCTGTTCTCTTTGTTTAAATAACTTTACTAAACCCAAGTTACTGCCATGTCACCACACTTTCTGTCAACAATGTATAGATGATCTTATTAAGGCTTATGCTCATTTTAACAAGTTTAACTGTCCAACCTGTCGGCAACAAACAGATATACCATCAGGTGGTGCCAGTCAGTTTGTCACCAACTTTTATCTAGAAGACGACGATGATGATAAACAGTATTGTACAAAACACAAGAAGAAAGAAATACAAGTTTACTGTCGAGATTGTCGCAAACCATGTTGTGCTGTTTGTATTATGGTGGACCATAAAGACCACACAGTAATGGATTTAGATGAAGTAGCCCAGGAAATGAGAGAAATTGTCATGAAACTGAAAACAGAATCTGAAAAGAAGATAAACCAGTTACAGAAACATTCTGACTTTCTGAAGACCAAAATATCTGACATGAACAACTTGCGTAAGACAGCTTGTGATAAAGTTAATGAACAAATAGACAATATTTGTAAAAAAGCCAGGCAGATTGGAAGAACAATTAAAGATGACATCAATAAAATTGGTAAAGATGAAAACAGTAAACTCACTAAACTAATAGAAGATGGCTACAAGCTGGCATCCAACATGAAAGAATGGTGTGAATATTGTGAACATATATTACACGATAGATGTATAATTACCGCCGTAGATAAATATCCAGACAAAGACAGATCACAACATATCAACAAATTTACAGAAACCTGTAGTCAGACATCCATATTATTATATGGTGGAGGCTGATGTAGACGACTACTGGGTGAAGTAGAAACACCATCAACATTTACTAGTAGTTTTAGTTTGGATCAGGTGAAGCCAGATGGGTGGTACGATAGAGATGTTGTAATAATACAAGGATTACCGTGGTGTATACGTGTTTCACGCGATCCATCAAGTGTAATATTTATTGGCCTGGTATTGAAGAAAGAAGATGAAAGTATTAAAACTTTGACAGGTAGTTATATTGTAAAACTGTTAAATAACAATGATGAGAGTAAATCACTAGTTGAACAACGTGCAGAAACATATAGACCTGGTTATGTATACAATCGTGTATATATAGACTGGGATGTACTACAGGATGTGACAAACGTCTTTATTGATGACAAGACATTTATTATACAGACTTCTATAAATATAACTGATATAAAACGATAGGGGCCATGTAACGGATCCATTCACGTGATCTGATATACGTTTGTTGTTTGAAATGTCTATATATATATATTGTGTCATGTCCGTAGGTCTATCTTGTGTATTTGTCTATGTGTGGTTACCTTGCAAATGTTCCCTCAAAATTTTAGTAATGTGCGTATAAATTATGTTTTGTGCATTTATTATTTCTATAGCAACCATATGTTGGCAAGCTATTTGTACAGTTGTAAACTTGAAATTGTTTCAAGTTAATTTTGGTAAAGCCGATATCTCATGCCTAATAAAATTGTGTTTACAAAAAGGCTGAATTTTTATACGCCCACATTTTCATGTGAACGTATATTGTCGTCGCCCCTTTCCGGCCGTCCGTCCGTCCGTCCACAATTGTTTGTGGACACTCTACAGGTCACAATTCTTATCCGATTTTGACGAAACTTAAAATACAGGTTTATCTCCAAAATATCCCATCTGCTTTCGATATTGGCATGTATCGGATCGAAACTTCATGGATTATGGCCCCTGTTTGTACGAAAAATCACGTTTTTAGCTTGTGGACACTATAGAGGTCACAATTTTTATCCGATTTTGTTGAAACTTGAAATGTAAGTTGATAACCCAAAGATCTCGGTTCCTTTCGGTATTCGCGCATATCGGACCATAACTTCCTGAATTATGGCCCCTGATTGTACAAAAAATCACGTTTTTAGCTTGTGGATCCTATAGACGTCATAATTTTTATCCGATTTAAAAAAACGTTTTATTATATCACCGTTACACCCTAAGGATGGCCCAAAATTGACAGACAAAATGGCCGCCGTTCGTTCTCAAATAGCGTTAAAATATGGTATATCAAGGTTGTGGAACCTATAGAGGTCACAATTTTTATCCGATTTTGTTGAAACTTGCAATGTAAGTTTATAACCCAAAGGTCTCGGTGCCTGTCGATATTCGCGCATATCGGACCATAACTTCCTAAATTATGGCCCCTGATGTGTACGAAAAATCGCGTTTTTAGCTTGTTGACCCTATAGAGGTCATAATTTTTATCCGATTTAAAAAACCGTATTATTATATTACCGTTACACCCTAAGGACGACTGAGTTCGAATTTCGTGAAAATCGGCCCAAAATTGACAGACAAAATGGCCGCCGTTCGTTCTCAAATAGCGTAAAAATATGGTATATCAAGTTTGTGGACCCTATAGAGGTCGCAATTTTTATCCGATTTTGTCGAAACGTAAAATGTAAGTTTATAACACAAAGATCTCAGTACCTTTCGATATTCGCGCATATCGAAATGTAATTTGCTGAATTATGGCCCTTGATTGTAGAAAAATTACTTTCTTGTTAGCTTGTTCTCTATCCATCCCTCGAAAATGTGGGCGTATCCTGCCTGGCAGCCGCTGGTTTATGTGATTCGGTGAGGTCCGGAATATTTTTTTTGTTTGGTTTAAATGTTTTGTGCTTGGACCAAAAGATGTGTCAATGGCTAGAAGGGAACGGTGCATCTAACTATACTTAGTCTTTCTAGAATATTTAATACCACTTCTCATGAAGGTAACTTAGTAAAATATAAAAGAGCTAATTCTGCCCGTTACAGGTCTTTTGTTGGCATGGGCGTCACACATGGGGGGGGGGGGTGTAACGGTGATATAATAATACGTTTTTGTTAAATCGGATAAAAATTATGACCCCTATAGGGTCCACAAGCTAAAAACGCAATTTTTCATACAATCAGGGGCCATAATGCGGGAAGTTACGGTCCGATATGCGCGAATATCGAAAGGAACTGAGATCTCTGGGTTATAAACTTACATTTCAAGTTTCAATAAAATCGGATAAAAATTGTGACCTCTGTAGGGTCCACAACCTTGATATACTATATTTTTACGCTATTTGAGAACGAACGGCGGCCATTTTGTCTGTCAATTTTGGGCCGATTTTCATGAAATTCGAACTCATTCATCCTTAGGGTGTAACGGTAATATAATAATACGGTTTTTCAAATCGGATAAAAATTATTACCTCTATAGGGTCCACAAGCTAAAAACACGATTTTTCGTACAATCAGGGGCCATAATTCAGGAAGTTACGGTCTAATATGCGCGAATATCGAAAGGAACTGAGATCTTTGGGTTATAAACTTACATTGCAAGTTTCAACAAAATCGGATAAAAATTGTGACCTCTATAGGGTCCACAACCTTGATATACCATATTTTAACGCTATTTGAGAACGAACGGCGGCCATTTTGTCTGTCAATTTTGGGCCGATTTTGACGAAATTCGAACTCGGCCATTCTTAGGGTGTAACGGTGATATAATAAAACGTTTTTTTTAAATCGGATAAAAATTATGACGTCTATAGGGTCCACAAGCTAAAAACGTGATTTTTTGTACAATCAGGGGCCATAATTCAGGAAGTTATGGTCCGATATGCGCGAATACCGAAAGGAACCGAGATCTTTGGGTTATCAACTTACATTTCAAGTTTCAACAAAATCGGATAAAAATTGTGACCTCTATAGTGTCCACAAGCTAAAAACGTGATTTTTCGTACAAACAGGGGCCATAATCCATGAAGTTTCGACCCGATACATGCCAATATCGAAAGCAGCCGGGATATTTTGGAGATAAACCTGTATTTCAAGTTTCGTCAAAATCGAATAAGAATTGTGACCTGTAGAGTGTCCACAAACAATTGTGGACGGACGGACGGACGGACGGAAAGGGGCGACGACAATATACGTTCACATGAAAATGTGGGCGTATAAAAATTCAGCCTTTTTGTAAACACAATTTTATTAGGCATGAGATATCGGCTTTACCAAAATTAACTTGAAACAATTTCAAGTTTACAACTGTACAAATAGCTTGCCAACATATGGTTGCTATAGAAATAATAAATGCACAAAACATAATTTATACGCACATTACTAAAATTTTGAGGGAACATTTGCAAGGTAACCACACATAGACAAATACACAAGATAGACCTACGGACATGACACAATATATATATATATAGACATTTCAAACAACAAACGTATATCAGATCACGTGAATGGATCCGTTACATGGCCCCTATCGTTTTATATCAGTTATATTTATAGAAGTCTGTATAATAAATGTCTTGTCATCAATAAAGCCGTTTGTCACATCCTGTAGTACATCCCAGTCTATATATACACGATTGTATACATAACCAGGTCTATATGTTTCTGCACGTTGTTCAACTAGTGATTTACTCTCATCATTGTTATTTAACAGTTTTACAATATAACTACCTGTCAAAGTTTTAATACTTTCATCTTCTTTCTTCAATACCAGGCCAATAAATATTACACTTGATGGATCGCGTGACACATGTATACACCACGGTAATCCTTGTATTATTACAACATCACTATCGTACCACCCATCTGGCTTCACCTGATCCAAACTAAAACTACTAGTAAATGTTGATGGTGTTTCTACTTCACCCAGTAGTCGTCTACATCAGCCTCCACCATATAATAATATGGATGTCTGACTACAGGTTTCTGTAAATTTGTTGATATGTTGTGATCTGTCTTTGTCTGGATGTCTGTTAATCCATATTTATCTACGGCGGTAATTATAGATCTATCGTGTAATATATGTTCACAATATTCACACCATTCTTTCATGTTGGATGCCAGCTTGTAGCCATCTTCTATTAGTTTAGTGAGTTTACTGTTTTCATCTTTACCAATTTTATTGATGTCATCTTTAATTGTTCTTCCAATCTGCCTGGCTTTTTTACAAATATTGTCTATTTGTTCATTAACTTTATCACAAGCTGTCTTACGCAAGTTGTTCATGTCAGATATTTTGGTCTTCAGAAAGTCAGAATGTTTCTGTAACTGGTTTATCTTCTTTTCAGATTCTGTTTTCAGTTTCATGACAATTTCTCTCATTTCCTGGGCTACTTCATCTAAATCCATTACTGTGTGGTCTTTATGATCCACCATAATACAAACAGCACAACATGGTTTGCGACAATCTCGACAGTAAACTTGTATTTCTTTCTTCTTGTGTTTTGTACAATACTGTTTATCATCATCGTCGTCTTCTAGATAAAAGTTGGTGACAAACTGACTGGCACCACCTGATGGTATATCTGTTTGTTGCCGACAGGTTGGACAGTTAAACTTGTTAAAATGAGCATAAGCCTTACTGTCTGATTCATCGTAAATTTTAAACGGATTTCTTCGATTATGAACAAACTACTTAACTTTGGTTATTATAAACTTACCTGTGTGTTTGTATTGAACTCCCGTTCGATAAAATCCATTGCACAACTAATTATCACAACGATGAGAACAATTTCTCTCTTGAAAAATTTGAAAATTTACTTGTAATTTCGACCGAGTCGATGTCAACAATGTCTTCGTGACGTATTGGTCGAATCCAATAGACCTGTTGCGGGGGTTGGTTAACATTGAAAGATAGTTTGACAGCGCGATCATTTTGATCGTATATGGGTTTGGGCGACGAAAAATATCAATTGAAGGCAATTACATAGGAGATTTATATGGAAACCATTGATCGCCAGTCTATCAAATTTTCTTCACAATTAAAATATCACTGATTGCACGGATACTCGTAAAAATAAAGTCATGTATAAACTATAAATATCCTATCTTCTTTATGTTATAAATAATTTAACAAGGATCATGAAGCTTACCTCCGAATTCTCTGAGTGTATTTTTAATTTTATACGCATTCTTTCGATCGAATAATAACCGCTTCAGTAACATCTTTAAGCGTGTTGCGGCAGCCCTCAGCGTGTCTATTGGGTGGGTATATAATGCTACTAAGCCCGTATGACCCCGTAAGAAGCGGAACATTAATTCTCGATTCGACAGTTTTGACCGAAGTGTGATAAAGCCCGTAAAACGAATGTATAGTTGTGTTTGTGCGGCATGCGTGTTCAAAAGTAAATAATCCCATCCGAGTCGCTAATCAAATAATTAGAACAAAATATTTCAAAAAGTAAAGCTATAAAATTTGCAGAGATTTTACTAGAATGTAAAAGACGGTAACTAAATACAGGAATGCGGGTAGTTATGTGTGCGAACGCTCAAACTCAATGCCAATTGTCGCAGGTATCCAGACCACTCGGACCAAAGACTACTCGGACTAAGACCAGTCGGACCAAAACAAGACCAGTCGGACCAATTAAATTATATTATAAGGCTAGACAATATGCTATTTATTTATTATTAAATCACAATACAAAGAAGCAAATAATTCTTATACGGAATTCTTATATTTAGAGTTGTTTGGTTCAATTTTGTGTACGTAAATAAATCAACGATTAGTTTTAAAATTAATTAATAATGGTGCCAAAAAGAAATATCAATCTAATTTTTCTTTACTCTTGCAATGAGACTCGGTATGTCCAGAGTTGTTTGGTTCAATTTTGTGTACGTATATAAATCAACGATTAGTTTTAAAATTAATTAATAATGGTGCCAAAAAAAAATATCAATCTAATTTTTCTTTACTCTTGCAATGAGACTCGGTATGTCCAGACTTTCTACATATACGGGTATACTGTTCTTGTCTGATAGCCTAATTTTACTTTTTCCACATTCGCGGTATCCCCAGTGGTTTCATTCCGTTCTACCCCACTAACCCCTGGGTTACTATATATGGGGGGGGGAGACACGTTTTCAAGTTATCCGCCCTTGATGCGTTAATATAAACAGCACATAATAATACGAAGACCGGACGTTTATATGCCCCTTTTTAAACGTGACTACAAGTGTGGTTCTCGATATTTTGCGATTTGGAATACAATTATCAATTTATTCAAACAACACGTTATTATTAGTTCGAGTAGTCATATTAAAACACACACAATTATCAATTTATTCAAATAACACTTTATTATTGGTTCGAGTAGTCATATTAAAATAAACACAATTATCAATTTATTAAAATAACACTTTATTATTGGTTCGAGTAATTATATTAAAACAAACGCAATTATCAATTTATTAAAACAACATTTTATTATTGGTCCGAGTCGTCTTTCTGTTGGGTCCGAATAGTCTTTTTGTATAGTCCGAGTAGTCTATTCGTTTGGGCTGAGTGGTCTATCACTTGGTCCGACTGGTCTTGAACCGAGTGATCTTTGGTCCGAGTGGTCATGGATTCTTGTCGTAATTGTACTTGAATTTCCTATGCTGTCACCCCTAATACGAAATGATATCTTCCGCAGAGTGACGTAACCATCTTCCATATTGGTATTTTTCTCTGGGAAAAGTTTGTGATATTTCAATTTTTCAAGAGGGAACTTGTTTTCATCGTTGTGATAATTAGTTGTGCAATGGATTTTATCGAACGGGAGTTCATTACAAACACACAGGTAAGTTTATAATAACCAACGTTAAGTAGTTTGTTCATAATCGAAGAAATCCGTTTAAAATTTACGATGAATCAGACAGTAATAAGATCATCTATACATTGTTGACAGAAAGTGTGGTGACATGGCAGTAACTTGGGTTTAGTAAAGTTATTTAAACAAAGAGAACAGGTATTTTTCGAAGCCATCTTTGTCCACGTTATATTGTATAATGTATCAGAGCTGTAGTGTTATAATATCCCTGTCTAACAAATGGAACAGGTATATTTAGCAGCCATCTTGGTCCGCGTTGTACTACATAATATGGACTCAGACTAGCAATTATTTGCCCATTGACTTCAAAGTTAAATGACTGTAACATCACAGGCTGTAGCTTTTTGCTCAACATTCCGTTGGTTCCAATCTTTATAGGCACAATGGGGACAACATTTGGCAATCTCCTCATCATAATTTTGTAGGGGGTTGACCGTTTAGATTTTTTGCTACACGGATTTGAAGTTGAAAGGGGTGAAAATCTCACTTCCGACACAATGATTGCTCTGCAGAAAGACATTTTACACCCCCTATCCCTCCGCTGTAATATCATCAGTATTACCCAAAACTGCTATGAAATTGCAAATTTGATCCCTTTTCTCCAATTCTAGACCAAAAAGTCAACCCAAAAATGCAGGAAGAGGGGAGAAAAAATTAAGGGAAAAATTGTCTATTTATAACTCGCACTACCCATCATGAAATAAGGGGAAATAATTACTAGTCTTAGTCCTATATGGAGTCAGACTAGCAATTATTTGCCCATTGACTTCAATGTTAAATGACTGTAACATCACAGGCTGTAGCTTTTTGCTCAACATTCCGTTGGTTCCAATCTTTATAGGCACAATGGGGACAACATTTGGCAATCTCCTCATCATAATTTTGTAGGGGGTTGACCGTTTAGATTTTTTGCTACACGGATTTGAAGTTGACAGGGGTGAAAATCTCACTTCCGACACAATGATTGCTCTGCAGAAAGACACTTTACACCCCCTATCCCTCCGCTGTAATATCATCAGTATTACCCAAAACTGCTATGAAATTGCAAATTTGATCCCTTTTCTCCAATTCTAGACCAAAAAGTCAACCCAAAAATGCAGGAAGAGGGGAGAAAAAAATTAAGGGAACATTTTTTTTATATAAAAATTATTATCCATACTGCCGGAAAAGAATGAAATACAGTGTGAGTCCTGATTGCACATATTCAAATGCGACCTGGAAAACTGAGACTACAACAACTTCCTAGTCAAAAAGTCGCTAATAGCGTGGTGTGTTAATTTCCTAATTTCTACTTTTCTTACTGACATCAATTTATTCAAAAATATGACTAAGTGGAAAGTCGACAAGACCGTATACAAGCCAAAATGCAAGTCGAAAATAAGAAATT